AAGTTATTACTCTAAGTTTATGTATCCACCTTCGGACTGTCCGCATGTTCATTTACATGTCAAATTCATTTTTTTCTTGTTGCGTACTGCTTCTGTTTCCTTTTGCTGTTGATGTTATCACATTAAGATGTCAATGGAATTAATCTTTGTTTAGCTTCCTACTCTGTGATTTAACTACTATATTGTATTTCACTTTAATCAACCTATTCAAATTGTTCAATGCCTGATATTTGTTTGTTGAATTTTTCAAGCTTAACGACTCGGCCCCTGCTGTTTGTTTATTGAAACAGTTAGTAATAATGATTGCAGGATGGTGCTCTATCAACTAACAAGATGTCCCGAGAAAGTTTGATAAAAAATTTTCAGGGACAAGTTACTGGGAGTAATTCCATTTATTTGGATGTTCCCAACAATGTATCCTATCAATCTATAGAAGGTCAAATGGTTGTAAATTCACAGAATATGCTTTCTGGTCTGGAGTCATTAGGTGCAATTGATTCATTGGATAATCTGGGCAAAGATGGTTTTCAAACACAGGACAGTTTTGGAAGATTGGTGAACAATATTATTGCAGATTCCCCAGGATCAGTAGATGATCATACTCTGGAATCTTCTATTCCAATGGTGCATCAGTCTTTCACAACTCCAATGACGAATAATCTTCAGGCATCCATAGCTGGACAGATATTCAGCATAACAGATATCTCACCATCGTGGGCTTTTTCAAGCGAAGAAACAAAGGTTCCTTTCCTCATCAGTTTTATCAGTAATATTTGTTGTTTTCTGTTGGGCACTGTCTTTAATGACATAAACGTGGAAATAAGAGGGAATAAAAACATTTTCACGTACTGTTTGAAAATAGAGTCAGAACAAGTCACACGCTATTTCTGTTTGGGGACAAAGAAAAGGTTGGGAGTTGTTATTGAATTAAAAATCGACAAAATAAGCTTAATGAAGTTGAGCAAAAGATTAATTTGGTATCTGTATCTAGCATGAAAATCTGCCAGGAATCTAAGAAGTACATTTCATTTTAAATGTGAGATTTTTGTTTTCCCTAAAATAAGACTAATAATCTTTGCACTGCAGATATTCCATCTGTATCAAAATAGATGTCTTGCTCGACTTGTTTCACCAAACTGGTGACTTCCCGTAATTGTATTCAACATTTATTACTAAAGCTTATTGGCCTAACACATTCCAAAAAGAATATAGATTTTATTGTTAGTCGCTCTTTATCTTTGAAAATAAAATGAATCAGTATTTAATATATTCAGGATTAGGAAATAGACAATCAAATACATAACCATTTACTGACCCTCGGTGATTGTTATGCAGATCTTAGTGGTTGGACTTTTCCACGAAGGACATGTATACCTCCCAAATTCTGATTTGTTCCTTGTCTGTGGAGATTCTATTGTTCCTGTAGAAGTTGTACAAGGTGGGGTCTTTCGTTGTTTAGTTGCACCTCAAACCCCTGGTTTAGTGAATCTTTATTTGACTTTTGATGGCCATAAACCAATCAGTCAAGTTTTGAGGTTTGAGTTCCGTGCTCCTCCATTGCACAACCAGACAATTCCTTTGGAGGATAAGTCTAACTGGGAAGAATTTCGATTTCAGATGAGACTTGCTCATTTGCTTTTCTCTACATCTAAGAGTCTCGATATTTTTTCCACTAAAGTATCACCTAACGCCTTAAAGGAAGCTAAAGTTTTTGCTCGAAAATCCTCACCTCTCTCTGAAAATTGGGGGCACTTGATGAAATCAATTGAAGACACAAAAATGTCTTCCCTCCAAGCTAAAGGCAACTTGTTCGAGTTGACCTTGCAGAATAGATTGCAGGAATGGTTGCTGGAAAGAATAGTAGCAGGTCGCAAAAAAACTGAACGTGATGAAAAAGGTCAAGGTGTAATTCATTTGTGTGCCATCCTAGGTTATACATGGGCAGTTTATCCATTTTCCTGTTCTGGTTTATCGCTGGATTATCGAGACAAATTTGGATGGACAGCTCTTCATTGGGCTGCATATTATGGAAGGTAGGGTCAACACACACTATGAAATATCAGATAAGTAGTACTGCTTAATTTGCTGCATGCAAAGTGAGATCTTAAAATAGATTCTTCCAGTAGCCCTTTTCTTGTCTTTCATGTTTCCTCTACTCAACTTCTCAACTCACTCCCTGCCCTGGATTCTGTTGTCCCCTTTTGTCTCATATTGCATGGACCATTATTCTTGCATACATGGCTCTGTCATGAAATGTAATTTCAAGAGTAGGATTTCAGAAAATGTGACGTATATATTGGATAACTCCTAATGAAAAGTGGTGAAAATTCCCATCAACTGATTTGAATACTGGATTTTTTACATTATTCCATATGATTCAGTGCAGTTTTTTTCAGGGAGAAAATGGTTGCAAGCCTTTTATCTGCTGGGGCAAAGCCAAGTTTAGTTACAGATCCAACTGCAGAAAACCCTGGTGGATGCACTGCCGCAGATCTTGCTTCCAAAAACGGATATGATGGTTTGGCAGCTTATCTTGCCGAAAACGCTTTAGTTTCGCATTTTAAGGAGATGACATTGGCTGGAAATGTTAGTGGGTCACTGCAAACAACCACAACCGATACAACGGACCCTGGAAATTTCACTGAGGAGGAGTTGTATCTTAAGGATACTCTGGCAGCTTACCGGACAGCTGCTGATGCAGCTGCACGTATTCATGCTGCATTCAGGGAGCAATCATTCAAAATGCAGACAAAGGCAGTTCAGTCATCTAACCAAGAGATTGAAGCACGTCAAATAGTTGCTGCGATGAAGATCCAGCATGCTTTCCGCAAGTATGAGACAAAAAAAAAGATTTCAGCTGCTGCTCGAATCCAATATAGATTCCGTACTTGGAAGATGCGGAAGGATTTCCTTAACATGCGTCGTCAGGCCATCAAAATTCAAGTAAGCCCCAATTCGCTCTCCCCTTTCTCATCATTTTGCTGGTGCTCTATTCAATGCTGCCATGGGATTTTCAGGCCAAAATAGTCTTGTGATTTCATTTCAATTTTTATCATATAAAGCTGAATATGCTCCGTTTATCTGAGGAGCTTGGTTCCTGAAGTGAACTTGGAGTATATTGCTGATCAATGGGTTAAATTACTGATGGTCCCTAAACTTCTAGAAAAATTCTTTACTAATTACTGAACTTCATTTTGTTTCAAGCCGATTGCTGGACTTAGACTATATTACAATTTGGTCATCTTTCCATGTCTGCTCTAACGGAAAATATGGCGTGGAAGTCTAGTAATTTTCCAATTAGGCTGCTAACTAGACTGCCACGTTGGCTTTTCCATTGGTCAAACTAAAGTACATGGAAGGAATGGCTAAACTGTAACTAAATTTTATGTTTAGCGACCCAAACAAATTGTAACAAAGTTCAAGTTCAATGGCCAACTTGAAACAAAATAAAATTTAGTGTCCAACATAAATTTCAATAGAAGTTCAGTGACAATTGTTGTTTTTTTACCCTCTGAACGATTATCATGTTTGAATTTGGCGGGTGACTATACGAAAGCCATGACACAAAAACTGAAACAAAATAAATTTTCTTTTCATAACTTATCTAATGAATGTTACCAGTATTTACGAGTCTGATATACCTAGAAGAATGACATGTAAATCCACTACAATCGCGACTACATTCCGTAGTGTTACAAGTTTTTCTACTGTACAGCTTTGGAATTTAATTCTTCTCTGATGCAGGCTGCTGTCCGGGGTTTCCAAGTTCGGAAGCAATATTGCAAGATTATCTGGTCAGTCGGGATCCTTGAAAAAGCAATAATACGGTGGCGTCTCAAGAGAAAAGGCTTCCGAGGGCTTCAGGTTCAAACTGATGCATCTCTCGAAGATCAGAATCAAGAAAGTGTTGTAGAGGAAAGCTTCTTTCAAGCCAGCAGGAAGCAAGCTGAAGAGCGTGTTGAAACATCTGTTGTAAGAGTACAGGCAATGTTTCGCTCAAGGAGAGCACAAGAAGAATATAGAAGAATGAAATTAGAGCATAGCATAGCAACGGTAAAGATTCTCTTTTTACATTTGGTCAGTTCACGATACTAATTTGCACAATCAACTTAACTAATCACGTTTATGCGCAGCTGGAATTTGAAGGGCTTCGCCATCCGGATATCAACATGGGATAAAAGACTGGCCTGCGTGCACTCAAAGGAAGATGAATGTGTATGTACACCATGTAAAGATTCAGGTAGTACCTTTTTTGGTTTGATCATCTTAAACACGGGGTCGTGGTTTCTGTTTATCTTTATAGTTTCCTTTTCCCTTTGGATATTTTAAGATCTGAAAATATTATGATCTGGGAATTGCTAGGTTGTAGTCTCGATCCCATTTTCGCGTGAGACTGTTAACTTCTTTTGGCATGGGTATATGCTCTTGAAAAATTATAGTTGATCTGTCTCGGTTGTGCCAAAGTGTAATGCATCAAGGTGTCAAAAAATGTGTTGGCGTCTGTCCATCTGCAGTGATGTGTGTCTGTGTTAAGAAACATGCCACTTTGTTAGTTTGTTACTTCCTATTCAATGCCTTTTTACATAATTAGAAAATCCCTCGGTAATATTCTTCCATTATTTCTGCTATGCACTATTACATAAACAGAGATATACATACCCAACTTACTAACCTGCATTGATGTAGAAACACACATTTGCAACCTGAGACACAACAAAACTATCGCAAGCACGAACTTTGTATAAGATCATTCAAAATGTTGGTGTCGTTGTTCCTTCAAATCTTTTAAGACCACTACTTGATGTACTGAGATTTGAATTCCTCACCAATCCCATCTTGCACATGATGCTGCACATGAATAAATCGAGGGGACGAACATTGATTTCAGCAAGATTGACTTTACCCTTGCCTGTGTTGAGATCGGCTAGCCCCCAGATAATAACACTGCTCGTCCTAAGAAGCAGCATAGGATATGTCGATCTTGTTCCCTAAAATGAGAAATGGGACATTCGCTAACTACTCGTCTAAGAGAAGGACGTCTAGTTCCTTCTTCAACTCCGCGAATCTGTGTGTTAAAAGCATCAACCCGATGAAATAAGTTGCACATCAGTTGACTTTATGAAGTACTCTTAAGGCAAGATTCTGCGGGGTTATGACATGAGAATAATCGACATAAATATATTGTTTATAAAAAATATACTAAACTTGAGAATATTGGTCCTTCCAGACTCTTCTAGCAATTTGATGGCCACCTAAATCAAATGATTGAAAAGTATGTTTGATAAAATATGTAACGTAACGACAAATTTGTGAAAATGGTTCTCTATAAAGCCTTTGATCGAAAAGAATTCAGCTTGCGTGCAAAGATTCAGATAAACATTTTGCAATTCATTTCCAAGTCAAGTGGTTAAGATATATTTGGTCTAATACTTTTGTTCTTTTGACCTGAATAATGTTATTTATTTATCATTTAGTTTATGTGACAGTATGATCAATGTCACGTTCAATAAAGAAAAATGCATTCCAATTTCATTGAGCCACCGCTATATAATCTGATGATAATCATGACTCCACAATCAGATGAATAGTATTATTATTTCTATAAATGTAATTGCATTAGAACAAGATTGTATACATAATTTCAATATTTTTTGTAAGTATTACTGACGAATGTGAACAATAATACAGAGTTATATACAAGATTTTAGCTTCTTTCTTTTATTTCATTAATATAGACAATGCAGTGTAGTGTTACTTACGAAATATGAACAAAATTCTAGAAAAGTTGAAAATAGGACGGATACTGAAAAATCCAATTCTTTTCCTAAGAGCAATTAGAAGCCCCTGTTTGAGGCACATTATTTTTCTCATTCTCATTCCTCTACTCATTTTCAACCAAACATTCTTTAATAAAATAATATTTTCCATCACATCAATAACTTTTCCTTCTTTTTCAACCACACATTCTCCATCACATTAACAGTAAAAATACATTCTTACTCTCAAAATGTGCACCAAACAGGGCTTAAATCATAAAATTGATATTATACTAGTGTATTACAAAGTGGCGGAAAGAACCACATAAATGATATTCAAACTGAAAGTTTACATTGCTCAATTTATTTCTATTTCTGTCAATCCCAATACGAAGCCCATTAACTCTGCCAAAAGCCCAAACCATCAGCTCAAGGTCACGGTTAAAACGAACCACAACTTTGACATTTTACTACTCCGCCGTGACGCAACCTTCTGCACCCTCCAACCACCTTGTTTCCGTAGACTCTCTCTCTCTCTCTCTCTCTCTCTCTCTCTCTCTCTGGATATAGAAATGTATGTATCTATAGGATGAACATTTTAAATCAATCTTTGTTTATTTCCTTCCGGTGCAGAGAAGAAATGGCGAAATCGAAGAACCACACTGTTAAGAATTGGGGTTCCATCTTAAAATGTCAACCTTGTTAAGAGGAGTAGCCTAACATTTTTATTAGTTGGTCTGTATCACATCATTTATCGATGTGGGATATATATCTCTTAACACACACTGCCCATAACTAGTCCCACAAGCAGGGACGTAGCTAGGATTTCAAATTTGCGGGGGCAAAAATACGCGGGGTGCCCCTCCTATCGGCCGCCAAATTTTTTTTAACTAAAATGATTGAAAACGACGATTTTGAGTACCAAAATAGGCAAGTTAGATTGATTGACCAAAAAGACAATTAGTTTGTCGATAACGTTAGATGGATATCAAAAAGATAAAAATTAAATTGCCTATTGGATCTAGGCTATTTATTTATTTAAGTAACTATTTGATATTTTGTTTACGTCTAAAATTTTTGTATGGTTGAATTTTAAAATGTAAGTTATTGGGCGAAACTGAAAAATACATTATAAATTAACTAGGAATAGTGAATTAGCGGACAATGACCGCCCCCTATCTCCGTCTCTGCCCACAAGAACGGCATCAAGAAACCCAAACGCCAAGGCCACACCTCCACCAAAGGGGTTAGTTGATAGTCATTCACCAGATTTCTTGTATGTGTGTGGATTCGAATATTTGTGATTTTATTTATTAATTTTTCTGTAATTTGATGATTTCCAGATGGAACCGAAGTTTTTGAGGAACCGAGGTATGCAAGGAAGCACAACAAGAAGAGTGGCGAATCTGCTGGAGAGGAAGAGTAAACTTAAATTGCAAATTTTCCCATTACCCATTTTTCTCATAGTGGGCAAATGGGATATTTGGATTTTGGATTTTTTTTTTTTGACTCTATAGTGATTAGAGTTTTCCATTTGTAATGACATTGGCAGTAACTTCACTTTACTATAGAACCTTTTTTTGTCAATTGATGTATGAGCTAAAACACGTATCTGGTTGAATTTGTTGGGAATGTGTGCTCCAATCTTTGATTTCCGGGCTCAGTTTCTCCAACAAACGACACCAAGATCAACAACCAAAACCTCACTCCTATCTTCCCAAACCGGTTGCTTTCTTGACTACACACAAAGGGCAACGGGTGACGAATATTCAAGGCACAATAACCAGCCACAAAGGCTAAGAGAAAAGGAGAAGAAGATGGCACAAAACCAAGGGGAAAGCACCAAGCCAGTCGACCCTCACTTCTCTCCTTTTCACACTCACGGCTGCCCAATCAATTCACTCACGCACTTAACAACAATAATAGGGCACACATATATAAAGGTTGGATATAAGCTTTTAGGGTTAGGCCCAATAGGAAATAATAAGGCCCAAAAGGTACCAAGTAAATGGTTTATCAACCAACAAACCGTCCAACGTAATGGATCGGGCCATGAACAACACTAACTAAACTAGGCTACTTCCAATTACTCAAATAGGTTGTAGTAATGGTTTGTTTGCCTATGGTGTCGACACTTCACTCATCGGCTGAAGGCCTATGAAGTAATCTAAATACAAAATACGGTTTAACATCATTGCTCGGATTTATTGAGTATCAAAAAACCCAATAGAATTTTATGATAATTTCTTTCGGGAGAATAGTTTGAAATTCAATGAGCATTGTGAGATAATTTTTCTTTGCCTTTTCTGTTCTCCGGTTTGATAGTTAGTTGATGGATACTTGTTGTAGTGAATTATGCAGTTGTTATGATGTTAAACTGTCTGCTTCCGGTAATTCATACATGACTGAATTCATGATTTTTTATGAATTTTCTCTCCCCTTTTTTTGGAGTGGTGGAATTCATGCTTGAAGTTGTAGATTTGAGCTTTTGAATATTGATTCCGGTTATCTGTGACTTCTATATATAAATGTGCCCACAGGCATTTATATATTTTTTTATTATACATTTATCTAAAATTTGCTTTCCCATAATAATGGTTGTCATTTATAATTTCAACTTTGCCAAAAATGCTCCAACCTTGGGCTTATAACATATAAAGCAAAGTGGTTTTACCAGGATTATCGAGGCCCAAAAACAAAAGTTTTGCATTTTTTTGCATGGGAAAAAATCATATTTAAAGTGTATTCTTTACCTCAATTCAAAAATAAGGTAAATACTTTAAAAATTCAAAAATCAGGTATTTATTTAATTAATTAAAAATATTTATTAAATAAAGATAATAAAGCCACATTTTGTGATTAATGGTCACATATTCATAATTTTAAGTTACATATTTATTTACTGATCACATATCGTCAATTTTTTTGATCCCAAATTATTTCGAGGTCACATATCAAACAATTTGTACGTCACACATTATTTCAAGGTCACAGATTTTTAAATTAGTTGGTCACATATTATTTCGAGGTCACAGATTATTAAATTTTTAGGTCACATTTGAGTAATTGGTCACAGATTAACAAAAATTTGGTCACAGATTGACAAACATTTGGTCACATACTACCGCCGCTTGGTCACAGGTCATAGATCGACCAAATGCTTGGTTACAGATCGCAGCCACCACACCCACAGAACACGTGCAACAGCAGATCCGCCACCACCATCAATAGATCCACCACCAACGACCGCAAACATAAACAGCCAACCACCAATCCGCCACCCCACAAATCCGCCAACAGCCAAACCGCCACACCCAATACTCCGTCGCAAAACACCAACCAACAACAAATTAGATCCAATCGAATCAGCAATCGAATCACCAAATCGGCCACCAATCCACCAACTGCAAACCACCACCTACAGCAGCGTCGTGACGCTGCTGTCGGGTCGCAGCATCTCGCTCAGCTCGCTCGCAGCTCGCTTCTGCAAAGCACAGCAGCGCTGCGATTCGCGGCAGAGATGGGAGGGGAGGGGGAGGTAGAGCCGTGGAGGGGGAGGGAAGAGAGAGGGGAGGCGAGGGAGGGAGAGAGGGAGAGAGAGAGAGAGAGGAATAGGGGAAGGGGAAGGAGTGAAAAATTATGGTTAAGAGTTTTTATATCACCTGATTTTTGAATAATAAAATTTGATCTCTGAATTTTGAATTCCAATCTTTAAACACCTGAATTATTATAATTTCCCTTTTTGCATTGACCCAAGAGAGATTAGTATGTTTGGGTTGGTAACACGAGTTACCTTGTAATTAACAAATGTTACATTAATACTGGTGGTGGCATTTAAAAGATGGTGATATTGTTTATTTTAATCGTGACGGCGACGGTGGTGGGAGGACCGGTCGTGACAACTCTAGTAATAGACTTAGATGATGGAGGGGTTTTCATATGTAAAAGGTCATGCAGGGAGGTTTTTTGTCAATCTAAAAAGATGAGAGTATTCCACAATATAGATAAAGGATATAGGGATTTTGTGCCAATTACCAAATATAAAATAACATATATGTCGTCCAAAAATATTGTTTTAACCAAAAAAAAAAAAAGCTTCTGTTTGATATTGGTTTAAATTAGATTTTAATATAAGTCAAAGTCAAAATCAAATAATCAATATCAAGCATACATTTTATCGGTCATATAACTTTTTAACCATACATTTCAATTTTTTTAATCAAAACATATTAAAAATCAAATTTTAATTCCCACCAAACAGAGGCTAAAATATTTCAATGAAAACTCTTCAAGAAATATGGTAACACATGTTACCATTCGTAAAAAATGTTAATTTATAAATGAAAGTAAAAATATTAATTTTAAACGATAAGGAGATATTTTAAAAAATTATAAAAATGATGTAAATATACAATATTATTTTTAATAAAAATAGGGAATTTTTGAAAACATTGCGGAATGATATTTTTCTATGGTTGTGTTACATATACTTCACAACTTGCGGATTTTTTTTTATAAACAGATTATGTGACGAGATTTGGTTGACTCAAAATCCCATCAACTGAATAAAAAAAATCCTCCACTTTGTTTTTGATACCATATCAATATGTAAAAAAATATGTAAGTAGTGATATACCATGAGCATTTTTCATTTTTTAAAGCTTTTTAGAGAGAGGTAGTTTTAGTAGGTGTTTGGTGGGGATAAAACTAAATTTTTGGTAGATTATGATAGAAGTTTTTGAAATGTGTGGTTGAAAAGTTGTGAAATTCATGAAAAATGTAGTTAATATTAATTGTTTGACTTTTACTTAGATTAACATTTGATTTTAATCCAAAACAAAAAAGACCGTGTCATCCTCTCTGTCAAAACATCTAGAAAGAGGAAATTACATAAAACAAGGGGTTTAGTTTTTTTTTTTTGATGATACCAGGGGTTTAGTTTGACCTTTTTAAAAATCAGATATACCTTTTTAAAAATCAGGTTTTAAGTTTATTTTTGCAAAAATCAAGTATTATATTAAAACTCTGATTCTTAACTTAATTTATCAATTCCGTCTTCACTATTCCCGTCGCCTCCCCTTCTCCCTCCTCACCATTTCTCTCCCTCCCCCCCATAAAAATATCCTTACAAATTAATCAACATTGCAATTTTCTCTTTGGAAAGTGAAATTAGTGAATGAATCAATTTTTGATTTGGGACCAGGTAGCATTCAGACTTTAGTTTTCTTTATTGGTTATGTTTCAGAAATCTTTAACATCGACGAATGTGCTCATATTGACATGCACGGATTAACCGAAATCTTTTTAATGAAGCCATTTCCAGGTCGGCACAGTTGGAGGTGGAACTCAACTGGCTTCGCAGTCTGCTTGTCTCAACCTTCTTGGGACTGGTGGTGGCAGTGATTGTGCAAATTTTGGATCTTTGTTTTGCGGTGCTTGTGCTGTGATTTTGTTGGCGGCGGTTGTGTTGGCGGAGGTGGTGATTTTGTGGATCTAGGATCTTTGTTTTGCGGTGGTTGTGTAGTGATTTGTTGACAGTATTTAATTAATTAATAAAGAGTAAAAATCGAATTTTTGCAATTTTAAAACGTTAGCCCTTGATTTTTGCAAGTGTCAAAGTTAATACCCGATCCATGAATTTTTCCCATCTAGAAATATAGCAACCCATCAAAGTTATTGGGCTCCAACGAACCCATAGGAAACCGACGGAAACCCATACAAAGCCCATTTACTCTGCACAACTGAAGCCCAATCATGACAAATCCCTTCTTCTTAAAAGGAACCAAAACCCTAATCAATATACTTTTCTGCCGTGCACAACCTCTTGCAGCCTAGCCACCAGGTTTCCGGCCGCAATTTCTTTATATTTACGCATATATGTATATATAAAAGTCAAGCATTTTGAGTTAATCTTTATTCTTTTCCGATACAGAGAAGAAATGGCAAAATCGAAGAACCACACTGCCCATAACCAGTCCCACAAGGCCCACAGAAACGGCATCAAGAAACCCAAACGTCAACGCCACACCTCCACCAAAGGGGTTCGTTGAAATTCATTCACCTGATTTCTTGTATATGTTCGTGGATTTGAAACGTTTTGATCTTTTTTCCGTATTTTTTGTGTGAAATGCTGTACAGATGGACCCCAAGTTTTTGAGGAACCAGAGGTATGCTAGGAAGCACAACAAGAAGACCGGTGAATCTGCTGGGGAAGAATAGACTTAAAATTACAAATGTGCCCATAACCCATTTTCTGATAGTGGGCAAATGGGATATTTGGATTTTGATTTTTTTTTTTAAATTTATTTTGTTGTGATTTGGTTTTCTATTTCTAATTATGTTGGCAGTAGCTTTTTTGAGCTGATATTTTCACTTTACTATTGAATGTTATGTTAAATTTCTTTTGGGATTTTATTTTGAGTTCCATTGAGCCATGGATGCTTGTGGTAAATTGTACACTGGTTATGATATTAATGCGTGTTTGGCCGTGCTTCTGCATTTGCTTATACGTCTTGTAGACTTGGAAGAGATGAAGATACTTTAGGTCAGCTTCTTTCCAAAATTCTTCTTGTTCAGACAAAGCACTTTCAGGAAATTTTTCGAATGTGTTAAAAAGTACTTCTTAGTATTATAGTAGTAGCTTTTGGTTTTACGAAAGTTCATGCAAACTGATCCTAAACCAGTTGGGCGTTGCTTCCTCCATTTGTGTTTGGTGGAATTTATTCTTGAAGTTCATGTGCATGCACTGATGTGCTCCCATTTTAAGTTTTCTAAGAATGAAGTGTTATTTTTTGAGGTTTGTCAAATTAATTTAAGTTTCTAAATAATGTTGCAAGTTACCCACGACTCCTACAGATGTTATACACGTGCACGCGTGTATGCTTCTGTTAAAGTTTTCTATGAACAAAGTCTTATTCTTTGAAATTTGTCGATTTGATTGAGCTTCTTAAGAATGCTACTGTTTGCTAGTGACTTCTGTAGTTGTTACAACTTACACATGCTTGAACAGGTGGGTCAAAGAACAGGCCTGGGTTTCAGTCATGGAAGAATCGTTACAAAGTATAGATGTTGATTGAGGTTCAATGTCAGTGAATTGTTTGGCGATTATATGTTAAACTTCTGGGTACTCATTTTCAGGCATGATTTAATTGTTTAGCCGGCCAAACGAAGTTGAAAATCAGTTAGCATAATGTTGAAACTGATTGTTTCTTTCTAATGATTATACCCTTTCATGTTACTCTCTGTCACGGCACAAGTCTCTCAATTTGCCGTTTGGTAGTTCTCCGTTTTTTTTTATTTTTCTTATTCACGCGTAGAGATGACATTGTTTTGCATCCTATCAAAAATTGACTGAAAATCTCAGGCAGAGGACAGAATGGAATTGGCAGATTTAACTGCTAATGTTTTTAGATTGCAACTCGATGTAATTGGCTCTATACCCAAATTCCAGAAGTGAATGTGAAAACTAATAAGATTGATGCACTACATGTTTTCCTGACTTAACATCGAAATCTCTTTGCTGGAACTTGAAGAAAGGTCTCCAAGAATGCCGCTCTAGCTATAATTTTGATATACCAGATAGTTCACCTAAATAGTCTTTTTCCTCATTTGGTGAAGGCTGGGAATTGCGGGATGGAGCTTTTCTCACCCAAGGTTTTGCAATCCTAAATCTCTTCCTAGACCCAAATATCTTCAAAATCTTACACTGCAACTGGTTCGCTAACTGGTTTTGTAACACTAGCATTTACCTGCTCCCAAAAGTCCAAAAATTGAATATCTAACCATTTGCAAGAGGATGGGGTTAATTTCTCGGAACTATATGCCAGAAACTTACTTTAGCCGATTTAAAAAGTTCGTCGAGAACTTCAGACAAAGTTGGATGCGCATGGACAGCAAATTTGATGTCCTGCGAGGCAGAAGTACATGGTTAGCTTGCCAAATGATAAATATTTCCAGTCGGGCACTGCAGAGGCAAAACAGAAAGAAGATGACTGAAACTTATGTTCGGGTACCTGAATTCGCGTCCCTAATGCTATGGCATTAGATGCTTCATGAATCAGGTCTGCAGCATGCATTCCAAAAATGTGTACTCCAAGGATTTCTCCGTTGTCAGGTCTGTATATTAACTACAGGAAACAATAGAAGTACAGAAGAATATACATTCAATAAGCTTGTGACCACCAATGAACGTGAAACAGCAAGATTTTCGTGTTACCTTGGTAAGAACATAACATGATATCCAGAAATTATGTCATATGAAGACAAATGATAGCCTATGGTGATGCAATTATATAAAAGAGGAGAAAGAAAATATAACCTTAGCAAGTCCTTCCCCTTCATTTTCTGCTAGGGCTTTTGTATTGGCTTTAAAACTCGTTTTGGCGATACTCATCTCAAATCCTTCCTTTTCAGCTTTCTCCTTTGCTTGCGGCTGAAAGATAAACAACATAATAACATCAATATAATTCATACACAGGACTTCTGGTTTAATACCCACGACTGAGTTAAAGCAAGAAAAATGAAAAAAAGATAAAAAACAAAGGGAAAAAAAGGAAAAGGAATTCAATGCCTTGCAAACTACTGGCCAAAACCTGGTGTCACATTGGAGAAAGCACAAGATAATGACCCATGAAAACGAAAAAGCCCCTTTCTTGTCTATGTGACATAAATATAGTGGGCTTCGTTTGAGAAAACAATTTATTTACATGCAGAGACAGCTAACTAGAAAAGCAATGTTTATAGTTGAAGACAATGTAAGAAGTCCTGCTGAAATGATGCACATAGTTTAATATTTGCTGGTGAGACATTATTTTCGCCATTGTGACCCATCGAAGGAGAGGAACTTCCAAATATGTCTTGTTTACAGTATTACATAAAAAAGATTTAGAATTTACCTCAGTCAACCCAACCATACTGATTTCAGGGTGAGTGAAACAAGCTGCTGGAATGCTCAAATGGTTGAGCACGTGATCCCTTCCAGAAACTTGTTCAACAACTGTGTTAAACAAACCCTTGTGAGATATTTGACAGGTCAAATAAAAATATTGAGTCTACATGCTAAAATTATTAGGTAAAACCACCTACCAGAGATTCCTTGAGCACTTGCTGCATGGGCAAGCATCATTTTACCATTTGCATCTCCAATGCAATATAAGTGAGGAACCTATAATCGAAATATTAGGTCAAGAACATTTTGAGTAACCATAAACAAATTGGGCTGGAGGTTACAAACCAGATTTCGGTTTGCATCAATTACTCTCATGCGCTCATCAACTGGAACAAAACCACGTTGAGTTTCCACATTGATCTGAAAATAAATAAACACCACTCTTGAGATTCATATATTAGTTCCATCAGTGTTCAGACTTATATTTACTTGTATGCAGAGGGCGTACATTCTCCAGTCCAAGACCTTTTGTAAATGGAGCCCTTCCAGTTGCAATTAATGCTACATCTACCTAGAGCAAAAGGAATAGTATAAAATTTTAGTATATACCACAAAACAAAATGAAGAGGAAATGAAGAAATTACTTGCCAAGGGATGATAAGCTCGTATTATTGAAGTTATAATTTGGAGAAAATCAAAATTTGACAACTTGAAGTTGATTATTTTTTATTTTTTTTTTGCTCTTATATCCTCAGCACTGACAGTAATTTTGAAAAAAATGGTCTTTGTGTTTGCAATAGATCTTTGTCTAGCCCTTTCTTCAACTTAAGAAACCTAATTCCAACATCAAAGATAACAAATAGTAAGATTTAAGTACGATGAAAAAATGTCATTTTTGAATCTTAAAATGGAATGTTTGGATAAAACACTAGTTTGGTTGAGTCCGCAAACAGGACACTCTGTCAAGACTGCATGGAAGACTGCATGGTTTTGCTCCATCCATGCACAACTAAAAGATAAAATGGACCAGCAACAATTTCATAACAGTTGATGTCTAGCCCATACCAGTATCTTATAATTAACGTGCGTATATGATAGGAAAGCAAATTGTTCGAGCTACATTCAATACTACCAAGACAAACTTCGGTTGGGAGACTGCTGGTGACCAACATCTATGTGGAATGTCCTTCAGTTGATATAAAAATGTCACTTGCAGAAATTAACATTTATGGAAATTGACACTGCTAGTTGAGTTTTGGATGTTATAACGTGATTAGTCTAGTTCCTTAAATCACGGCAGCTGGTCTCATACTTACATTTTCGTTTGTGTTTTTCGGCAGTGGACATCTGAAGAACTTAACATTTATAGCTTGGGATCCTTCAGATTCAATATAATACGATAGATCTAATTCTGTTCATCATGGACCTTAGCTTGTTCAAAGTTCATATTCTCCGTTATCCTTTTAAGTGGTCTGGTGTGTTATGTCGGGAGGGGGGCTGGGGAAGAAGAAAACTATTACCTCCAAAGTACCTTTAGGTTCTTTTGTCTTGGCATCAGTAAGCTCAATAATCACTGGTGTCCCATCCTTAGCAGGAGTTATCTACCGAAAGTATCAGAGTGAGTGGAATATTTTGAAGGTATATACTTGAACAATTAAGCAATACCTTGGTTGCAAATACTCCTGTGTGGTAGTCAATCTTTCGTGGGTTTATCAGCACTCTCTGAGCTAACTTTCCAATCTCAGGATCGAATCCAGGCATTAGCTGATCTAGAGCTTCAATAAATGTAACCTACACAAAACCAATAATTAAGTTACTTGAGTTCCGACAGAAGTCAATTCTTTGAAATAAAATTGAGGGAGAAAAAGGCACGAAAGATGAACGGATGGGGAGAGAATATAATTGCAATACTGGTTATAGTGTCAAGGCACAAATTAGGGTATTTGGAAAATGCTTTGTCGAAACAATATTATCAAGCAAGTTACACAAAATAAACAAGGATCTCTAATTTAACCAATTTTACAAGTATAAGGGAATTTGATGACCTCATGACAAGAATAATAGGAAAGTTCAGAAATCATACAATCAAAATTTAAAAGGCAAGAATATTAACTTAAAGAACATTCTTTCAAAGCATTTTTCCTTGTGGTATCATATGCTTTGGCCAAATGAATAAGCAATGAATTTTATTAGCATTCAGTTGAAGTCTCAAATCTAAGAGCCAGTAACCGCAACTGGTGACATCATATACAAATAATACAGGAGAAATCGGCTGGAAAATTTGAAATGGCAAGTAAATCATCATCAAGGTAAAAGCACGACAGGAAAAGGAAATGAAAGGATCTATGGCACTTGATATTTCATTTTATCCGGAATGAAACCATTCACTGCAATTGATTAGTTCAAAGCAAAAGCTACATTTCAAATAGTAACAATCCAAAAAAATAAATAAGAAAAGAAGACTTTGGTAGGGCTAAGGAAGAAAATTGTAAGTATTACCTCACTACCAAGTGCTGTATATACATCACTGAATTCAAGCCCAATATAACCACTTCCAACTATGGCAACCCAATCAGGAACAACTTCCAATTTGAGAGCATGATCACTTGTAATTACTGTCTTCCCTGCAAAGATACCCAGAGTTTAGAAATGCTACTTTTCTCTATTAAAGAAACAAATATAGCAAAAATAGGTTATATATCTAGCAAAATTAATAAAAAGCTGCAAGATTTAATTGTTGAGGTGATTCCTTTAGAAGTAGTTAGGCTATTAATGTATAAATCCTGTTAAAAGTTAAATCCAAACTTTCCTCACTCTCTTTCTTGCAGCTTATAACAGTTTTCCCAATTTCCAATCTCTCATATGCTCCTCAACCATATTATCAAGTGCAAATACCTTCTTCTCATTGCTACTAATAATGTCAACCAATAAATTCATTTTAGGAAACAGCAAATTGTACGGTACGTGTCTTTCTTATTCCTTTATTCCATTTTTTATTTCGCTCTTTCTTCCTTCCTATCTTTTCAAGTGGAATGTGACTAAACATGCAAAATTATGGCCCTCGCAGAATTTTAGCTGCACAGATTACAAGCTTCCATGTACCATTCCTCTCTGATCACCAAAACTTAAGCCATACAAGGAAAATTCTCCAGTACAGTCTTCTTGTGGACAAAAAAGGAAAAGCTCATGCAAGTTTTCGAGCCTCGCCAACTTCTTCTGCCTGTATCTCGTCTATATTTGAGGTGATTAGAGCTGCAAGATTGAGCAAAGCAATCGAGGCTTCTAACAGTTTGGTGCCATCAAACATTATTGATGAACATGAGGTCGTCTCACTTGCAGCATATAATTCCTGTTGCGGTTGTTAAATACTCATATTATACATGTACAATATATAGATGCAAGAATGATTACAAGACTCCCGTTTTCAACATATTTTCCGAACTTAATGACAGTGCTCACTCTTATTAGCTGAGACGTGAAGGTCACATATTGGACTAGGCAATCAATAATTTGACAATCTTAACGTACATAATCTGAAAACAAAAGTTAATTGTCAGCTTTCGTTAAAATTAGCATTTTTTATTGAGATATAAAAAACTAAATTTGGCCCAATAGTTGATGGTAATTAAAAAGATATCGTGTTTATCTATAATGTAAAGCCTTTCAAAAATTTAAGACTAGGATTCATTGATTATCTAGATTTAAATTAAACTGTGCCATGTTTCCAATGAAGGGTTTGAACAGTATGGTACTGTAGAATATCTCAGATTATGAGCATGCCCCTAAGTTTTGATCGAAAAGGTATCAAATGAAAAGATCTGCATATTTTGACAAAGATCCCATGAAATCAACCTGTCTTCAGCATCAAATAAATTGCCAGTTTTGTGGTATAAAGTTTTATAAACAAAGTTAACTGCTGGTAAAGGCAGAGAAAAGCAAAGATTACTTACCATCAACCTCAATTCCTTTGGGGACAAAAGGAACAGATCCAGTAGCTATAATTATATCTTTTGCAGTAATCACATTGTCAGGAAAGCCAACTTTTCCATACTTGACCTTTTGAGGACCCTGAAATTGATATGAGCGATTTTGACAGTTACCCTGAGGGTGTATATAAACATGACAAACATTGTAGAATCTTAACATAATATCTTGTTAGTATTATTAAGAGATTTGGTTTAATAATTGACTGGATAAGAACTTTTAGTTTCTGGTTTTGACTTATCCCATATGAAAACATCCAGGACTTACCAGTATTGTGCCAAATCCTGTCAAAATGTCTACACCAAGGGCCTTCATTGAATTAGTCAAATTATTACGAATTTTTGAAGCAAGATTACTAGCATGGTCAGCAACCGCCTGCCTGTCATACCCAGCAGCTGCAACCTATCATTAGTTGTAAGAAACAAAATGTCAAGTTTGATAAAATTTGACAACAAATAAAATATAATTCAATAAAATGTTAGAGGTAATTGTTAACAAGAGCAGACTATATTGTTATCTGCAACTAGCAAAATAAAGCAAATGCAATTTTCATTTGTTTGAAATTTTAAGCAGGAGTACCAGGGCAATTTAGTAATATAGAAGATCTTTCGAAATTTTTTGCCAACAAATCTTGTTAGAATACAAGTATGTTGGGCAACCCAAAAGTTGTCTATTATTGACAATAAGTGTCTTTTTAACATCTACGTTATCAACAGTGTAGAATGTAGTCGAGATATTTCTGGCAGCAACAAAATCCTAATATGTGTAATAGAATGTGAGCTTAAGCTCCAGATATGACCAGAAAATAAAATAAATAAAAATTCCAGATTTTGGATTAAGCATATTGCTTTATTCACCTGCAGGCCCAAAGCCTTCATGTGATGCTCATCTTGAAGTTCACGCATCCTACCGCTTACTGCAAGTAAAGCTTTAGAAGGAACACATCCTCTGTTCACACATGTTCCACCCACTACATCTCCCTCAACAATAGCTGTTTTAAGACCCTGCAAGTATATGATTCAACTTCTGAGCATATGGCGATAAGAGCAGGAAATATGCATAGACACTTAGCAAGAGAAATCACACCAACTGGTATAATGCCCATGTAGCAGGTTCAGGCTAAAGAGGGTGCATCGTGCCATTGTTGAAAAGGAAAAAAGCTGAAGTCCGAATATCTATAGACTGTAATCGCCCAACATATTTTATTATCCAGTTCAACTGATAGTAGCAAATATCAAATTAACAGCTCATCATTGTTTACATGCAAGGAGTATTTTCACCTGAGCTGGATAAACCAAGTCTCCAATTTAAACCGCGAATATATTTTAAAGAAGCATCAGTTTTAGCATCCAATGACTGAAATGGCTAAAAAAATTATTCTTAAGATCAAAATTTGTTGTAAAAGATGCAGTTAATATACTCATTCCAGAGCATACAGAAGATGGATATATAATAATTGTAATCTGTATCAACAGCCAACATTGCCTTGACAGGATTAAAGTCATGAGAATACTCAACAGTCAATTGAAATCTTGGACATTTTCTCTCAGAGAAAAATGCATAATTAAAAAATTTAAATAGACTCAAGCTTACAGCCTCAGAACTAAAAAATAGAAAAACACAGAAAATTCATTTTTTTTTTCTTCTGATATGAAGCTTAAGATTAAGGTATAACTTTCGCCTAATTCAGATGCTTTGACAGAACCGGAAGCCAAGGAAATGCCCAAAATTTGGTTAAAAATCGTACCCACTTGATCAATCAGTCAAATGATCACAGTCCAACGATGAGTCATGCTCAAAGCCGAAAAAATAAAAAATTCGCACAAATCCAACAAGTGTAAACTTAGATTTCTCGCTCGAAGCCTCAAAATCACATCTTTCACTAAAATTTAAGCTCAAACTAACAAAATCATAATTTCTCACATAATTCAACTAATTTTTCACATAATTCACAGAACCCATACTTTCTCAACAGCATGCAATGCAGCACCGTGACCCCCAACACCAGCACCTATAATCAAGAGATCATAGTCGAACGATTTCGTAGGGCTGCCATTGTCCGAATCCGATGCTGAAACTGAAACTAAGCGCTTTTGTAAACGCGACTTTCTCCCAACAATTCTGATTCTCTGAGATTTATTTAGTTGCGACTGCGAGACTGATTGAAAACCAAGAGCCTGTTGCCGGAGGCCGCAGAAACGGATATTTGATCTGAAAGTGGAGTTTGGGAGCGATATAGAGAGAGAAGAAACCGAGGCCTGCATTTGAAATATGTATATATAGACAGGGAGAGTATGTGTGTGTGTACTGTAGAGAGAGATCTGAGCAAATGATTACTGTCTCTGTATGTGTAGATAACAGGTCAATAGATAGGAGAAGATGTCGAAAGGCCGCGGATAACGCCCCCCCCACCCCGCCCTCCCTCACTCCGAGGCTGACGTGGCAAGTGGATGGATTATTCTCCTCCCTCTCTCACCAAAGATGGAAATTAAAATCAATTTATACATTTTTGCATGCTTGATAGATTAAATTTTTCATGAAATTGATTTTTCACATTTTCTTATTTTTTGAGGAAAAGATTTTCCCGTGGATTTGGTGGGAAAAACTTTTCTAGGCATTTTTTTTTGGGCAATTGAAATATATTTTATCCTCAATTATAATAAATTTTATCATTTTAATGGACAATTTTTATGAAAAACAAAATCAAACGAACACCAAAAGATTCAAAATTTCAATATTTTTCAGGTGAAAAATTATACCAATCAAATATAATTAATTGACAATTTTTCATAAAACAAATTCTAGACAATTCAGTTCCCTGAAATTCATTTTCTTCGACCCCAGTTCCATTCTTGTAATCTAACGGACCCTAAATATCACTTGTCATAGATCACTTAGCTAGCCAAAGCTTTACTTGGGACGACATAGAAAGTGGATTGACACTATTATTTTATCTATATCGAAACAAAAATAAATTTCTTATTTTATTATTTTGTTTAATATTTAGCATATTTCAACAAAATACCAATAAATATATTTTAAAGATGGTTAAAACCCGCTTACATCCTTTCCAAAAATTAATTAATAAAAGAAACCCACTTGATGTCATCGAATTCAAAAGAAAATTTAATTTCAATCAGTCGACTTTATCAATTCTCAAATTAGTCTGAGTTAGGTCATTATATCAAGTTTGTTACAAGGATTAAAACGAGATATACAACTAACTAATATTCTAATCATTTTGTATTAATCATTAAACTCACGTGTTGTGGATGGAGTGGCCGCTATATCATCAAAAATCTTAGTCAATATATTCTATTTGGTTCACGCATCCTAAAGAGTTTAAACCAATTACCTTGGGTTAAGCACTTGTTTGTGCACAATTGCCACGAGCATGAGCTTAGCAATCTGATGAAGTGTATAAGGAGTTAGAATTTATGATGAAGTAGGATCGCAAGACAAACTAATGATTTCATGATAACTTTGGGTTTGTCCGTTTTTTGCGAATTAATAGTCTAATTTGAGTGGAAACGGGCCAAGGATCACAACTCATCGCCTTCGGCCATGACGTACGTCGGATTTCGGACAGATTCCATCGTTTAGGTTCTCCATTACGCGTTTTTGTCGTTTATGGTAATTTTTATTTTGGTAATATCTCATTCAATAAAAATTCGGATTTTGATTCCGTTTATTGGAGGACGATCCTGAATATTAGGAGTTTCCATTTAAATTAAAATCTCGAATTTTTTCATTTATGAAAAAATATCATTTTTTTTATTTTTATTATTTATTTTTCGAAATTTGATAGGGTTTTGCTATTTAAATCATTGTAAGCCCTTTGAGGCAGACATTATTGAATTGAATAAGAATTTTTGTGAGTTTATCTCATATTTGTGAGGTTGATCATCTTTCCTATAATCTTCCGCTACGTCACAATCACAATGTATTTCGATAAAAAATCATGTAAGGAAACATTATAGAAAGTGTCAAGCTAATATTTCAATAGATTTTCTTCTCTCCTTCCATGGTAGTTTCTTCTATGGACACAAGTTTTTTAGGAACGGGAATGATGGCAGTGGCTGGCAATGGTGGGCTTTCTCAAGTATGTGGAGAATGGTTTTCTAGGGATTAAGGGCAGTGGCTGACAATGATGGCAGTTAGTAACGTATAACAAAGTTCAGTAAGCAAACTTTTGAATTTCGAAATGCGAATGATAACCTGTAATAAAATTTAGTGATTGTTGATTGAATTAACCCGGAAAATGAAGTAATATTGACGTCATGAAAAAGTAATTTATTATTTTAAAATTTTATTTGTTCATCAGTAGATTTTGTGTTAAATATTTAGCAGCTAGTGCAATGCTGCGTCTTCACCTAAGGTCGAAAAAGTCGCCACCAAATTTTCCTTCTCGTTTCTGCATAACAGACACGTGTACACTATGCCACACATGTCTCGCTCTCACCAACTTGCCGTTAGTTACTCCTCCCTTCTTGTATTCAGTTTCAGTGTGATCTAAAATTAATTTGTTCGTGGTGGTGAGATTTTGCTTTGATTTGATTTAAGGTGTAAAAATGGGCGGAAATAGCTTAGAGAATCGATCGCTGCTTGATGAGCTTACATGCTTTGATAATGGCAGCTCTTTTGATCTCGGCCATCCTTTACTGAATCGCATAGCCGAAAGCTTCCTCAAAGCCGCCGGGGTATAACTCTTCATTCATATATTTATTTGTTTGAAATGTTAGCAATTTCGTTTCGAATACGAATGAAATCGAAACTCTCATAAACTTTGGTTTAAAGTTTCAATTTGCTTCGGAATTTAACTAAAATTTCATTTAATTGCAGGTTTGTATGAGAGTTTGAAATGATTATATTTTTTGTGCGATTCGACAATGTTTTGCAACTTTGGTATAATGTAATGAGGTTGTTTGTAATTTGAATGGCAGATTGGAGCGGTTCAAGCAGTATCACGAGAAGCTTATTTCACAGCTGTTGAGAGTGAGTTGTTTAGTAATTATATTTTAATATAATACGCTATTGCTCTGCTAGTTTGACTATCTTTGTTACTGAATTCCTCGATATGGGATTGTTGAGTTTTTTAGATTCATTGTTGATGTGAAAATTTGAGTTGATTTAAGTATAATTACAAGGTGTGAGTGGAGATACAGGTGGTTTTCCGTCAGAAGTTAGCAGCGCGAAGAGGCATCATCGGTTTCCAGACCTTAAAGGTATGTTAAGGTCTGAACAAGACATATACATTTGTTTTGAATCCAAACAAATTGAACATGCAGTAGAAGAGTACTGCCCCATGGTATTCCTAGTAAATTTAAGTTAAAAAGATTTATTATCAATTCGTTAAGTTTATAGTTACCTTTTTCTGGGGTAGTGGAGATCTTCTTTGATTCCTCCTTGCATGTTATCATTATCTGTTAAATTTATAACCGGCAAAGATGGTTTTAATGCTAGTTAAGGAGAAAGATTGCATCAAACATAAGCTAAAGAAGTCGTAACAATGGACCAGTTTAACAGCTATTTTGATCATTGCTTAGCTTTTGTAGGATTAAATTTTCATTTCAACGCACTGTTTTTGTGGCATCTGGTAAATGTAGTTGATTTTGTTGGATCTTCTTCTGAATGATTCTTAACTCTCTCTACAGGAGAAACTAACAAAAAGTCTGTTGAAGCTTTGGTAAGTCTAACTTCTGGCAATAACTTTTCCATAAGCACTAGAGTTAATGATGGTTTGAACCATTTGATCTAAAAGCATAAGTGGTAAGATATGGTCAAATGTAATCAATTAAATATTTTCTTCACATGTTCATAACATTTCCCCATAGGGGGTGGAAGCGATTCATAAGCCAGTACATTCTCCTAATACTCTAGATTATGGCTTAGTATAGTGGCTATAAAGGCACCAGCTTTATGCAATTTCATCCAATTTTTCTTTGCTATACTCTGATGTCGATCAATGGTCACTGTGGTTTCAGGTGAAGAGNTAGTATTAGGTATAGAACTAGGTTAGGCCCAAAAGACAAGCTAAGGCCCAAGTAGAAAATAGGTGGGCCATCCAAGTTTGGGTCGGTTTAGGGTTGGTTTAGCAATTGTGGTGTTCGATTAACTTTCAGTCATTTGGACTATGCCGACTGAATTAATACAACGTAATTCATCATCGCCCGGGGGAGGTCGTTTGACAACAATTTGCCTAACACCTTCGTTTCTTTCCGGTCCAATAAGTTTCTGTCATGAGAAATGACATTAAAATTTGAAAATGATGCATTTCCTGCTGCTGCAGGATTAGCTGCTGGGATGTATTCTGGTCTTACCTATGGCCTGAAAGAGGCTCGTGGAATCCATGATTGGGTAAATTTTCTTCTTCTTCTCTCTCTTTCTCTCTCTCTCTCTCTCTTTTCTTAATTATAATGTATGTGTTGGCATCATGTCATCTGTAATTTCGCTATTGCCCATCCCCAAATAGATGTTGGCTGTTATGCATCATTGCATTGAGCCTCATTACTTGCATTGCTCTTTTATCATCTACGATCCAAGTTCTGCAGACGATTATATATTTAGGTTGAGTCATCTTATATAAAAGCTTAAACCATTAGAGGTTGAATACATTTATATACCTATATTTAGACTTCAACACATTCCTTCACGTGCATACTAGATTCAACTGTGTATCAGAAGTGTGACATGTGCATAATTTTTATAAATGGGTGGTGGAAGTTATGAACTCGCCACTTCTACTTGCTTTAATACTATGTTGAACAAGACCATTTAAAAGCTATTAACCTTGACCAGTCTTCTATTTATTTAAATTTGGTCTTGAACAATATACCATTCCGCCCTTCACTTTAATGGTGTTCAGCTTCGCCCATTCTGATTGTGAAACAGTCTATGGAGCCCATCAGCACATTAGTTATTTTATAGTGTGCTTTCTTCGACGCAGAAAAATAGCGCCTTGGCAGGAGCAATCACTGGAGTAGCAATGGCTCTAACATCGGATGATCATTCCCACGAGCAACTGGTGCAGTGTGCCATAACGGGGGCTGCTATCTCGACTGCTGCAAATCTTCTTACATGGGTATTCTAAGTTCGTTTTAAGCATGCAAAAATATGTGGTAGTTGCTTAAGGAATTATTTCGAGATCTACTTCTCAAAACTAGTAGAAACATTTACTTTTGTCTTTCAGATACATGTGAAAGGAAATTGTAGCTTTTCGGGCGGTCTTTTGCCTTCGGTAGATTGACTTTATGTGTTAAGCCTTCTCTGTCAATAATATGTGAGTATGATATGTTTGATATGTTGGATTGAATATATTTTAAGGTATATTGTCTAAAGTCTACGTTGGTTGCTTGTGTAGTGTGTACGGATTTGGGCGGTGCTGGTCTTTATATTTGCATTCAACTTAAATTTTAAGTTTAATAAACAAATAATATGATCACTTGTTAGGTAATTTACCATGCAAAATAATAATAAATTGTAATTTTATTCATCTTTCAATAAATAATATATATTTTTTTCATTTATTTTGTGACAAGGAGTAGACGGTCAAAATATTTTTCTACGAAGTTTTATGCTCCTTATCGACTGGTTTTAAATGAATCAAAACCTAACATCGTCGTGTAATTAGGAAACTCTATTTTAATTTTAACTGCGGCGAGAGCGAGTTGCCACTTCTGGAAGGAGTAAATATGCAGACGCCATAGTTGACTGGTAAAAGCAGCCAACTATTGACTTTTTTTTGGGCAAAAGTCATGATTGACTTATAAGTAATTATAACTGCTTGATTGAAACATTCATGGAAATACTACTTTTCATTGTCAAAAACAGTTAGTTGTGTTTTGCTGTTATTGGTATACAGCACGTTTTGGGAGGTTTATTTTAAAAATAAGTTCCAAATGTGTTACATATTGGTTTATCTGCAAAATAAGCTAGTCCAAACATACCCGTAGCATCGAATGTCGTCAGATAAGATAAATGATACAATTACTTAATTTAACATACTAAATTTACGATTACAATACTTAAAAACGGTGTTTTTAAAGCACGGAACTAGTTTTTTATGTATTGGACTTTTCAAGAATTGAATTTTGAGAATGAAATGACAACATAGACTTTGATTTGTCATGCTATGTTTTCAAGCTCGATAAGTCGTTCTCTTGCTAAGTAACAGTTATTCACGTTCAAACTATCATTTATGTATACTTCATTATCGTACCTCTACCTCTCATGGTTATATATTAGTTGCAATTTGATCAATTCACATCTGAATTTTATTTTTTGAAGAAAAAAATTGAATTTACTTGTATAATATTTTATTGCGAATGTACAGTTGAAAATGATTATGAAAAATAAATTAAATTAAAGGTAATTTGAGATTAAACAAAATAGTTAAAAGGGCGGCCTTAGGTCATAGATGACGAATGGAAAGAACTCATTCGATTAGTTGACCTTAGAAATAAAGATAGGGGTTGGATGGTACTGCGCGTCATTACCTACTCAAGTAAAGTAGACAAAGGCACCTGCACTTGTCACTAACATTGGCTTTAAATGTATGGGGACCAAAATTTTAAGTGCTCAATTTGAAAATAAAACGTACAATAAGAAAAGTAGAGGTCGACATTTTTATCTATTTATTTTTATTTTTTTGGTAGTTTCTCGATGAATGAAATTGTGGATTCAGAATAATTAACAATGTTGGCACGTGNATGAAAACAAATACAACTAATTGTGACCATCCTTAAGGGAAAGTTCCAAAATTTTAATAGAAATTTCGTTATACGATTTCATACGACTTGTCAAATATGCCTATTTTGTTTTTTCATAATCTAAAAGAAAACCACAAAGAAAGTTTTGCATTTTTATATGTTCGTTTCAATGAAAAGACGTTGCATCTTCGACGATACAGCCTTTCTAGATAATTTTTTATCCCCTTTTTAGGTTTATTTGAGCCCCTTTAAAAAGATATAGCTCTTCTAGAATTTCATCATTTATCATCTGAATAGATACATCAACTGCCGGCTCAATTTAAATTTATTTGATCACTCATTAGTTTAATTTCAAAGTCAACTGCAACCTACTTGCTAATTTTTAGAACCCTAATCGCCATCTTGCATTCAGACAAATGGCATTCAGCTAATTAGAACATGTCTTGTTAAATTTAAAGAATTTTGTATTAGCAACTGATTGTATGCATTAAGGATGCGATTTAGCATGTTATTATAATGTTTTACGTCAAATCCAACGTTCAATTATTTATGAAAATTGTATAGAACTTAAAATAATAAACTTCATATAATTAAGAAGAAACTGTTAAGATTTGAGATTTCATCTTAAAAGGTTAACGTTATTAAAAGGAGTAACATAAGCTTTTATAAATTAGTTTATATTTTCATCTTTATTCGATGTGGAATTTTATCACAGATGGTGGCTCGTTTGAGCAAAACAATCTTGAAATTCGCGTGCTCGATTTTTTTAAAATCTTAATTGGACCGAATTGCTCGTTAGAGTTTAACTGGCTCCGATACTATGTTAAGATTTGAGGTTCCATCTTAAAATGTCAACTTTATTAAGAGAGTAACACAAACTTTTATAAATTTGTTTATGTTTTCATCTGTATTCGATATGAGATTTTATCCCTTAACAGGAACATTTTCAAGATAATATAAAAAAAAAATTAATAATTTAAGATTTTAAACTGTGTATCTTTAAGCGATCGTTGTAGGAAGGAAAGTCTACCTTGAATCCTTGAGCAAACTTCGCTAAAAACCATTATTGTACATAACTATCAAAAAAAAAAAAACCATTATTGTACATATTCAAAGGTCAACGACTCAACTATAATGCACGTGATTATTTAAATTAAGGATTTATTTACTAAATAAAAAGTCAAAATAAATCATAGTAGAGATCTCATCATATGCTTTGACATTACCCAAAGGAGACAAGATTTCCACGCCCAACCAATAACAGTTGCAAAGTATGAAAAAATGAACATTTTTGCATCTATTTAAGTGCAAAATGACATACCTATCGAGTATCCAACTTGTCCATCAAACTAGTTAAATTTATGGAATCTTCCCTTAACCTCCTCCTCCTCCTCCTCTTCCTCGCCATATGCCATCGAGTATTGGCGGCAACATCGCCTTCGGGCTCCCCTTCGTACCCCGAAGAAGCCCTTCCCACCAGATCAGGCTACGTAACAGTCAACTCCACCACAGGCTCTGCTATCTTTTATGCATTCTATGAAGCCCAAACTTCCTACAACAAAATACCAATATCAGAGTCCCCTATCCTCATTTGGCTCCAAGGGGGCCCCGGCTGCTCGTCCATGCTAGGGAACTTACGCGAGGTCGGTCCATGGATTTTGAATCAAGAGCTTACACTTGAAGCAAATCCAGGTTCTTGGAATAAAATCTTTGGACTCGTCTTTCTTGATAATCCTATAGGAACTGGATTTAGCATTGCTGCATCAAATCAAGAAATTCCAAGAAACCAATATGATGTTGCTAAGCACCTTTTTATTGCAATCCAGAAGTTTATAGCCTTAGACAAATCATTCAAAAATAGGCCAATTTATTTAACTGGTGAGAGTTATGCTGGAAAATATATTCCAGCACTTGGATATTATATTATTAAGATGAATTCCCAGTTGCCTAAAGAGAGTAGGGTGAATTTGGAGGGTGTTGCTATAGGAAATGGATTGACAGATCCAGAGATTCAAGTGTCTACTCATGCTATAAATTCATTTTATTTAGGTTTGATTAATGAAAAACAAACGGCCCATTTAGAGAAACTTCAAATGGAAACAATTGGATTCGTTAGAAGAGGTAAGTGGAGTGAGGCAACAGATGCAAGAAATAGAGTGTTGGATACCTTAACAAACATGACTGGTTTAGCCACTTTATATGATTTCAGAAGGCTAATTCCTTACCAAAACGGTGTAGTCGACAAGTTTTTGAACAATGTCGAGGTGAAAAAGGCGTTAGGAGCGAAGGAGGACAAATTTTTCGAGAGGTGCAGCAATGTGGTGAGTGGTGTGTTGCACGACGATGTGATGAAGAGCGTTAAGTATATGGTCGAGTTCTTGGTTAAGAACACGAAAGTGTTATTGTATCAGGGACAGTGCGATTTGAGAGATGGCGTGCCCTCGACTGTGGCTTGGGTGAGGACGATGAGATGGGACGGGATTCCCAGGTTTTTGGAGGCAGATAGAAAGGTTTGGAAGGTGGATGGGAAGCTAGCTGGTTATGTGCAGAAATGGAAAAGTTTGAGCCATGTCGTTGTGTTGAATGCTGGGCATCTTATGCCTGGTGATCAACCTGTCAATTCTCAGGTAATGATCCAAGATTGGCTCTTAGAGAGGGGATTATTTGCTAGTTAGAAAAATGAATTAATGCCTACCAAATTCAGGAGGGCACTTATTTTTACTCTTCAAATTTTTTTTTTTTTTGTTGTAATATGATTTCCCAGTATTGGGCCATTACGAAGTTGTTTAGATGCTCAAGGCATCAAAATTATCATTTCTAATAATTAATAAAAGTCTCTTGTTTGATCATATAAACAATCAATGATATGAATCCACCAATTAAATTTAATAGTGTCATGTTCTACGTCAATAGTAGTTTGCACAAGGCGTGCATATAGCTTTCTCCGAACGATTCAAAATTCTACATATTATTCATTTTTGGCTTGTGTTATAAGTCTACCTAAACAATTTTAATGTCTATTATATTATCGAGTCGAGAGGCGGAGACGGGGGAGGGTTTACCCCAGGACTGCCCAGACCCATTTATTTTTTATTAGTACAAATTTTTTGTGGAAAAAATTCATATCTCGTGCTTTTAAGTACATGCCAATTCAATTTTAAGAGAACGGGTTTAAAATTTCAAAATTTAGGTGATAAATAAATAATTAAAATTACTTTATTAATTAAATAATAAGGTCACAATTACATATTTATAGGTCACAAATTATTTATTTGTCACATATTATCAAATTAATTTGTTACAAATCAAAAAATTTATAGGTCACAAAAATAATTTATTGGTCACAAATGATTAGCTAGTTACAAGTTATTTCTCAATCACAAATGATATCATTGGTCACAAATTATCGAATTTTTAGGTCATAATAAAAATTAGTATCAAACACTCTTCACCCCACCCCCACTACCGACACCAATAGTTGGTATAAAAATAACCAATAATTTGTCACAAATTAACCAAATAATTGGTCATAAGCACCAAACACCCCACCCTACTCCCCATCCCACCACCGACACCAATAGTCGGTCACAACTCACAAATCAACAAAACATAGTTGATCACAAACACCTAAATAGTTGGGTACCACCAGAAATCCATCTCGGTTTGAATATCTTTCAATAAAGAATAGCCCATAAATCCTAACATGGCATACCCTCATACACAAGAAAAGCCAAGAAAAACTCAGGAAAAAAAATATCAAGATTGTTGGGTGGTGGTCAAGAAGCAGAGAGTCACTATTTTAGTCCCACCATTGTCCAGCAAGGAACAACCCATAAATCTTAACATCAGATCAGATACAAGAAAAGCCAAGAAAAACTAATTTTGAGTCACAGTATCCATTAGGTACACGTGTCCAAACGCATTTGTCTCCTACAAGGAGTAGAAGGCCAAGTGTACCACGGTCTTCTCAATGTTGTTGTGAGCTAGGTCGTGTCTCGACGCCATCCATGTGTGTGAGAGTGAAAAGAGAGAAGGTGAAGAGAGAGAAGAGATGGAAATAATTTTAGGGTTTGGAATGAAATTAGGTCGGGTTGGAGTGATGTGGGGGCAGAGTGAAAATTGTTTGATACGTTTTTTCTTGAGAAAGTACATCTCCACTTTTTGCGCAGTCTTCAACGTCTAAACATGCTGACAAACAGAACTGGCAAATACAGTAACAGCCCATCAAATAGTTTCATTCCCATTAACATTTTTTTTTTCCCATTGATGCTGATTTTCAAAATGTAAAACTGTACATAAAAGAATTTTCTGCTGGGTGATTTTCACCAGCGATCAGCTAATTTTGCTACTCCTGTACCTTCATGTTGTGAAAACCCAGTACGACTACTAGGGGATAAAAAGAACAAGAATCAGCAATTTAAAACGGAAAGTTACATAAGAGCTAATTGATGCTCGGTGGCCATCTAATTTTTCTACAAAATTGTATTCGACTCGACTACAATGATGATAGCGTCCGGTTGAACCAGTTGGACAAGCGTTCCATTTTTGCGGAAACTTCTGCATTTCTTCCAAAGTATGACATGGCATTAGATAGCATCACTTCAATGTCGTGTTTCATAGCCTCCAAACTTCTGTAGTAGTTATTCTCTAATCTAGAATGGATAACTTCCAGAGACAAAGGTACCGGGAACCTGCAAAGTTAATGCAGAAAATATTCAAATCAATTTTCAACATTTCCTCGTTTGGCACCTATGTGTAATTGTTTATAACAAAACATGTGAGATGGTTGTGTACCAAGTAACATTTTTGTTATAAACAATTACACATAGGTGTCAAACGCGCACACATTTGAGAGGGTTGTGTACTAAGGTGTATAAGTGTAGCAAGGTTCTTATTTATAATCAGTTAGACCACTTTTCAACCACATATTTCAGTGGACCATAAGTACTACCCAATTATTGAACTCTAATTTATAACCGATTATAAACAACTCCAAAACATGCTTGTGGTTATCTAATCTGCAGATAGGGGTCCACCTAAGCAATGACGGTATTGTACATAAAAAAAAGACTATTCAGCGGATAACGAAATTGGATTCTATTAGAAGCAATCACCAGAATAGGTCTATAAAATGAAGATAATCAAGTGCTTCAATTCTTGATTACTAGTTGCATGTCAGGCTAAACGTTATAAAAAAAAGCAGGCCTGTGTGGTAACCAACATTTCAAAACTCTTTTTTCTACATATTCATTTTCAACCACGCATTCACACAATAAAACATTTTGCACATAAACCTAAAATTGTTCATTACTTTTTATTCACACATTCTCTAAAAATTCACTATTCAAAACATTATTTTTACAAAATAATTTCTATCAAACAGGGGCTAAATATAATTTAGGGAAGGCGAGTAAAGCCTCCTATAAAAGTAACTTTCGGAACTAAAAGACCCCAAGAAAAGTAACTTCTAAAAAATTTCAAACGTGTTCTAAAAAAAAGGCAACTTGAAAATTAACTTCTAAACTAAAGATGGACAAAGACTTTTTGGTAAGTTTTGGAACTAAAACATCCCCAATAAAGTAACTTCTAAAAAAGTTGCAGTAAAACTAACTTTTACGGTACTTTTACGCTTAACTGCTTAAGCAGAAAGATATATACGATAGAGAAGTTCAAAAAAAGTTAGGTAAAGGTAGGCAAATATTCACCTGTTAATAAAATTTGTCTTCTGTGCAACTTGTTTCAGTTTGCTAACCCCATAATAATCCTGCAGGGATGAAAGGTCAAAGGATTTAGGAATCCAGGTTTCCAATTCATTCTATCTGTTAATTCAGAATGGAATAAAGTCTCTTTACCTGGGCTTTATTTCCAGATTGCTCCAGCTTTGCAAGAGCAAGCAGCAGCCTTTCTTTAATATCATCATCAATATGAGGCTGCTCCCAATGCGTATCAGCATCATAAAGTTCCCAAGGACTATGTTGATGTGTTTCAGCAGGGTCACTTTTGTACTTTACGACATACCTTTCCCATGGACTGTCAGGAAATTCAAGAGATTTGGGCTTCACAGTTAAAATTCGGCCTTCCCACCAACTCCCATCTTCCTCACCCGCATTTTTCCACCAAACTTGACATTTATCTCGGGAGGTCCAATTTCTTTGCACAGCTGCATCGTACCTGCTTCTCTCAACTAGGAAATCTGGAAATTCAGTCACTTCAGGGAGTGTCAACTTAAATGATTTGCCCACCACATCAGAAGAAGGATCTACAAATTTAATTGTCATTTTACAGCAGCTCTCTCCTGAACCTGGATGTGTTGAATATTCCAGGTCTTCAACTCTACAAAATTCTACAGCTCTGATGTTTCCCTTAATTGTTTTCCAAGGGCCCATGTCTTTCAAGTTAAGGTAACTCATATACTCTTGATGGCCCTGGAGAAACGATGAAGCCAATGACAGAGAGTAAAAGATAAAAGAGCAAAATTGAAAACAAATAGGTGTCCAGCATAAAAAAGTATATATTTACCTGTCTCAAATACACAACTTCATCCCCTCTCTGGGGAATGTATCGAGAGCCTTCCTCATGTGTGGACAGCAATAACCACGAACTTCTTCCAGAATGACATGATTTCCTTCTATCTGGAGGACTAGTTTCACGAATGTAATAACTGTCTTTCCTATTTCTTGTAGATCTTGGACGAACAGCAATCCTTGAACCTGATCCCCATTCTTCGCAGGAACTATCTTCATCTTTGGACACCGAAGCCTTTTCAACGTCTAATGATTCTGAATCATCGTGGGCTTCCTTCATTTTTAAATCACCGTTCGGTACATCCATATCACGGGCAGTCAACCTCAACCTAATGGACCTGGCCCTACGGAAACCTTCATTTGCAGTCTCAGCTCCATCATAATGTATAGGAACATTTGAAGAAGTTTCTATGCTTCCATTGTCAACTTCTGAGTTGTGTCTACCTCGGGAAGACTTTGACCTTCTATAAACAGCGGTAAACATTCTTTTTGGTGAATCGAACTTCAATGAGTCTTGTAAACTAACCAAAGCTTCTGATTCTGGTACACTATCATGCTCTTCAATAACTGAGCGCAGTTCTCCAATGCCATCACGATCAGGAACGTGTAATTCTAAATTCTGCTGAGAGTTCAAACTTCCACATAACGTATCACCTGCATCTTTCCTATAATCCTCTGATGGGGACTCAAAACCAATCTTCCCAAGGCTTTCATGATCCCTTGAAAGAGTACTAGATCTTATTCTTAATTTAGTAGGAATTGGACTTCCACTATCTTTCAACTCGAGGAGGTTTTGGGTCCCATTAGCAGCGGGAGCAGCAAATGTGGTTATACTGTCAACAACCTCGTTAAACTGAACTGGAAATTCATCATCATCCTTGCACTCATCTAACTGTTTCTTGACATTTTCTGCTTCTTTCAAACTTTCGGGCATAGTTTCATAAGAATGCTCATTTAGATTAACAATTTCATCTATATTGGCTTCCTGATTTTGGAATCCTAAACTAGGGGAAATTGTGCCATTCTCCTTTCCAAACATAGGATGTCCATTGAAAATACCTGTCTTCGTATGTTCGTCAAGAACTGAACTAGCTCCAGCAGGTATCTCAGATGGCAATGGTTCTCCAATCCTCAAGCGTTTTGAGGTTCGA